CGACCTCACGCAGATTCCCTGCGCGCAGGTAGCCACGCGCGGAAAACCAACAACACGACCAGGGACAGGGCAGGAGAACCAAAAAAACCAAAAAAAACAAAAAAAAATAAAAATAAAAGAAACCCAAAAAAACAAAAAAAAACAAAAAAAAACAATATGTAGGAACTCTCAGAAATATATATATATATATATGGATGAGGCCAAAGTCTCGAAACATTGTTTTTTTTGTTTTTTTTGTTTTTTTTTTTGTTGTTGTTTGATTTTTTTTGTTTTCTTTGGTTTTTTTGGCTTTTTTGATTTTTCGAATTTTTTGGTATTTTTCATTTTTTGTGTTTTTTGTTCTTTTAGTTTTTTAGTTCTTTTTATTTTTGTATTTTTCGTAGTTCTTGCATTTCTCTTTTCGGCGTCTGCATGGGTTGTACTATCCGTCGATGTGGTTATTTGTGATTTCTGACTGTGTTTTGTGTGTTTGGGAGCACGTAAAAGATGCAAAAAGTGCACTCTCACAGTGTCCCGTTTTGTATTTTTTCGGAGCAGAATGAAACCAAAAGGGCGGACAGGAGCGGGGCAGGACGAGACCCAAGGATGAGGGTGGAAAAAAATATTGAAGCGTTAAAAAACTAGAAAAGATGTGCAGCAGAAGGGCGAAGCATACAAGCAAAGAAACGGAAAAGCAAAGAAGCAACCAAGGTGAAAGGTAGAAAAGCAGCAGCACAAACAAGCAGAAACTCGACATGCAAATACGGGCAGAAGGCACAAAGAACAGCAGAAAAGCAGAAAAGCAGCGGAACGGAAGAGCGAAGCAGACAAACAGAGAGGCGGAAACGCACAAGCAGACAAGCAAAAGCACAAACAAGCATAAACAAGCATAAAATGACGAGCAAACACACGCAGAAGGTAAACGGGAAAACAACCAAAGCGCGGAAAAAGAACAACAAAAAAACTGTTACAGTTCCACCAAAAAGCATGGCTGAAACGCTGAGTCATCGAAGGATGTGCACAAGTAACACCTGTGAGTGGTTGAGTGAGCGAGTGATCGAGTTCGATGGCGAACTGTCAAGACTAGAACATCTGCAGCTGCTGACACCAAGCCACAGGCAACCGCAAGGTGTGTTGACTGCTTCTTTCTGTGAGAGAGTGTCAGGGTGCTGTCCTGCGTAGCTCCCCGAAGGGGTCCACGCGAGGTCAGCACTCGCCGAAACTTCACAGACAAGCTGCAGTCAAAACACTGTGGGATTCAGAGCTGCTAGGGCCGCGGCCAAAGGACGGCAGCTCAGGCGGGCACCGTTGTGCACAATCTTTCTTGCTACCAAGCAACAGTCACGTCATGGCCACAGGCCTCTTCCTTCCGGAACTCCGAGCTGCCATCCGTGGCTGCAGCTACGCACACTTGAGCCTTTGCCACAAGCTTCCGCCTGACTTCAAGGCTCAAGGAATACGGATTCTCGCAATAGGCTCCACGGAGATCCTCTTGTTTCGGCCTTCTGCCTGGGACTTCGGGGCGCTTCATGTTGAAGCTGTCCTGTGACATGAATTGTATGCATCTACGCTGGAGGGGGCTGCGCCAAAGCCACCAGAAGGATATAAGCCAAAGAGCCGAAGCCACAGAAAAGGAATGTATAGAAGGAGCAGAGGTTGTTGCTGCCAATACATTTCCCCATCCAGGGGCAATGATGATCGTGACCTTGCACGCACACCTGGCAGAATTGGCAGTGCTGGCAGCCTCGGGGTTGAACTATCTGGCAGATGTCACACCTGCGCACCCGCACGGACAAAGACTCTGAAACGGTCGGGACGTGGTTTTTCTGCAGCACGCCCGGGTTTGATAGAGCGCACCGTAGGAAGCCTTGAGCAAGGGGTGAATTTCCAACAAGCAAATTCACAGATACTACCAGTAGCTTGTTGCCCGGAGCAACCCCAAAGCAGATGCAGAAGCAGGGGCAGGGGGGTCTCATACCACCAGCAAAGCCTGAACAAAAGACTTTACTTGTCCAGCGAAGGAACTCACAGTTGAGAGGACAGTCACGAAGACGCTCCCTGCAAGTTGTTCCAGCGAGGTCACGGAATTGCACTGGAAGAGCCCCACTGCCAGAATGAAGCCCAGCATGAGCACCGAGCAATACCAATGTGGCCCAATGTAGAGGCCATGGCCTCCGAAGTTGAAAACCACAATTCGACCTAGCCAGCTGTAGCTCCAGGGATCCGGGAAGTCGATACCAGCTTCCACGTTGAAGGAACTGTAGGCCTCCACCGCGGCCGCCTCCCAGACTTGACCAGCTTCCGCCCGTTCTGCGAGCGTCGTGGAATCTACCGGCATTGCTGATGTCTACACAGTCGGGGAGCAGCTTTCCAAAAAAACTCTTGCGTCCAGGACTGCAGGCTAGACAGGTGCATTTGCTGGACGAAGTCTGAGAATTCTTCTTGAAGCTTGTGGCTTGCTGTCAACGAAACTGAAAGCCGCATGAAAAAGCCGCAGCTTTCCGGGCCCTCAATCCGAACAAGATCTTGGCCCTGATGTCAGCAAGATCCATGAACTCGTTTCCTACAGCGCCCTCATGCATAGCAAAATACAGCAAACATGCTCTGCTTTCTTCCTTGCATTGCGATGTATCGATTCCGGCCAGGACTGTGGGAAGGACCCTTGCCTCGCCATCAAGTATATAACCCGCATGCTACAGTTGTTCCAGCTCAACAAGGGGCGTGACGTTTCTGTGCAGGTGCTGCTGTTGCACACAAAAGTAATTCTGCACAAAAATGGCTTGCAAGGTCGCTCTCCGTGGCCTGATTTCACTTCGTAATCTCTTCCCGAAGGACAGCAGCTGGGACTAAGCTGTATATCCCCCTACCGCTCTGAGCATGTTGCTCTCGTGCAAGACTTCAGCACAACAGCCTTCTGGCCTCATGGATTCAAGTTGCATGGAATCAAGGAGCAGTGGCGTAAACACTCACGGCTTTGGCAGGGCTCTGCCTGCCGAGGAAAGACTCCAAAGAAGAGGGCTCCGGATTTCGCATTAATCAAATTTACTTGAGCTGGCCGGCTGTGGAGCTTGGAATGCAGACACCCGTGCAGGTAACTCAGGTAATTCGAAGACAGCCTGGACCAATTTGCCGGAGCCCTCTTCACCAAGTCTTCTCAGAGACAAGGCAGAGAAGAGACATCGAGGTGGGGCTGCCTCGGGCAGATGCCCAAGCATGCAGCTCGAGTGGGGCTTCTTCTGACCTAGGGCTCCCTGTAAAGTACCGTTGTAACGTGGACACACAAGCAGCTAGCTGCAAGCAGGGACCATATCATGATGACGTAGAACAACCCCTCAAGCCTGTGCATTTTGACATGCCCGCTGAGTGGCCAGCACTTTGAGAGTGAATGCTGTTTCCAATTTTCCATCCTGAAGAGCATGCAGAATCAGATGCTGGCGATCCTCGCGAAGCCGCGTTCAGGCGTTCATGCCAGTGCTCCGCAAGGGCTCTCGCGCAGACGCGAGAGCCCTTACTGAACCTGGGCGCCTGGGAAAGTTCAACTAAAAACGAGCTTTTTGGCAGCCTGTCCAGGCGAAGCCGCACAGTCTGGCGCCAAAGGTTTCAAGATGGAACGAAACGGATAAAGAGCAGTGGCCAGATTGCGCTGCTGGTACATAAAATAGCACATGCCTGTGGACAGGCCTGCTGCACAGGCCCCTGGCACAGCAGCTACTTCCCATTCGTCAACTTAGAACCGTGAGTGTGAGAAGCACTTAGGCTTAGGCTGTCATGGCATTTTCTGGGCTTCCTTGTGCCGGCCCATGCACGCTGCAAGCAAGACTTCTTGATTTCTGATTGTTTGACACTGAAACAGTCTCTGAGCACAGACCTTGACTGGTCACCTCGATTGGATATGCTCCCCTCCACACGTCTGCGCTCAGTGCCTTTCTGTACACGGAACGACAACATGAGTTGAAACAGAAACAAAGCCTGCCCGCATGTGAACTCAGGAGGATTTCTAGCCATGTTATCCGCAGGAGCTGAAGACCAATGAGGCCGAAAAAAGTCCGATTAGCTTGATTAGCTTGAATCTCGAAGGTCTTGTGACATCATACCACTCACATCTGCCGGGCAGGCCCGGAATGGCTTGGCACAAAGCACATCGCAGAGACCTCACTTGCCTTTCGCCAGCAGCCCGGGGCCTTCAGCGCCCACGGCCGTCTGCCGCCGCATCCTGAAGCTGCCACAGCTCTGAAGGAAAGCTTATAATTCAATAGGGCCAAAAAAAACCCTAGTCTTAGAAGCTTTGGAGAAGCTCTCAACTGTCTTCTCTTGCCATTGTTCTCTGCAAATTTCTGCAAGGTCTCGGGGCAGAGTAAAAGAACTCCGCCGCTATCAGTTCGATGGCTTTGTCCAAATCGTCGTTCACTTGCTGATAAACCGCCTCAGGTGCCAATGGAAACAAGCGCCTACGAAGCTCATGTTTCCCATCACCGTTCTGCCTACCAGCATGTGAACAGCCACAGTGTTGGCGAGTCGACGAGTGAGAACGAACAACTGCAGTTGCATTCTGCCTGGGATGAGCAGCAGTCTGGACCGATCCGGCCTTCCACTCACTCATGCGCGGAAAAGGGTGTGCAACTCCAGCAATCAGCATTTTGTCATCCAGCTCAATCTGCTTCAAATAAACCTTTGATGCTCAAGGCGCGGCTGTCGCTTTACAGAGACATGAACCTGACATGAAGATTCCACGGTCCGTCCGCAGCAGGCTACCGGCCACCCAGGGGCCGCAGTGCGAAGACTGCTGCCACCCCTTTGCAGGAAGTCGCCGCAAACGAAGAGTTCGCCTGGAGGCAATGAAGAAATGGCTCCGACAAAATCTTGCAAACTCAGAGACACACGTGACTGCAGACGAACTGCCTGGGTGCTCAGCTAACAGCTTCGTTTCGCATGATCCAGGACATCAATCCAAGCGAATTGAAAAACGGACACATGCTACGGGCCAAGATGCTCAAGATGTATGAAAGACAAGACCCTTCCCAGCGTCCTTGGGGCTTCTGGTCGTACTTCATGTTCGATGTTGATGCCTTCGGCTCCTCGCTACAGTAGCTCTGCGGAGACCACGTCAGTCTTGCAATGGAGTGGCAAGCTTCCAGATCCTTGTGGAACTCCCCCGCTTCAGCAGCTGCCCAGAATTCGTGCACCTTCAGCTGCAGGTCTGCAGGTGTGTTTTTGTGGCAACCGTCGGTCTGATTCGAAGGCCTGGGCTTCATCGTCCAACACTTGCTGCAGATCGACCTGTTCGACCTGCCGAGACGCTCAGTGATTGGGGATGGCACTGGCCGCCATCCTTATGGATTGCGGGAGATGAAAGCTTGATGCTGAGAGAGCAATGATCTTGCCAATGCTGGTTGCTTTGCTCTAGCTTTGGCGGCCCTGGATACTGTTGGTATCGCAGGTGGTGGTGCTCTGCCTGCTATTGACCGCCACGAACGTCACAACGACAACTGCAGTGGCGACAACAATCATGACATTGAGGCTAACTAACACTGACGATGCTGATGACGGTGGGGATGCCGATGATGATTTTGGCAATGGTGCTGATGATGATTGCGATGCTGGTAGTGGTGATGGCGTCGATATTGATAAAGGTGAGGACATTGACGGGGTGATGAGGGTGGTGATGGTGATAGTGGTGAAGGTGGGTGAAGGTGGGTGAAGGTGGGTGAAGGTGGGTGGAGGGGTGGGAATGCTTGAGATGGTCGTTATGGTGATGATGGCGGTGGCTTATCTTGTCGTGCTATGACTACCGGAACTGCAGTAGAGGCGATAGCTTATATTAACGATGACGACGCCCAGTGTGATGAAGATTTGCGTCATGACGATAGAAGAAGACCGCTCTTGTTTCTTATCTTCTGGCTACATCAAGTGTGCCTTGCATGGGTATGTCGACTTAAGTGCCAGGCGCCCGTGAAACCTACGGCATGCTACGCAGGTGCTGAGGGCAGGGTGATGTCGTTTCCACTGTCCTTGAAGGCTGAAAGCACGAGTTGTCCATGCTGTGCTCTGTCGCCAGTACGACGGCGCGCGCGCACGCGCACCGTGCCTTCAGCTCTACCAGCCACCTTGGACCCAGGCCCTGAGGGCAAGTTGTCCACCAGAGGCTGCCGCACTCTTACTTGCCGTGCACGCAACCTAACGTCCATCGCTGGAGCTCGGGCCATCTTCTTGGTCACTCCTTATCGACGGCGCTGCGATGCTGGAGTTGCAACTTTCTTCGGGGTTCGATGGTGGCGTTGCTACGTACCGACGTCCTGTCAGGGGCGCTCTCACCTCCCCGAGCCCTGAGCCGCTTCAATGCCTTGGACTTCATGGACTTTGGTGTGTGCTGAGGGACAGCCCATTGTAACGACGGGACGAGAATGGCTGTCGGATCTGTCGGGTTGCTTGGGTTCGGCGTCTGCTGCGGGGACGGACAGTTGCACACTCTTGCGTATCACTAGACAGTGCTGCGCTTGTTGTCCTTGGTCGCCTGCCTGATCTGCCAAGTCTGCACCGGGGTTGAAAATCAACCATAAGCTGCTGTTCTGGACCTCTGCGGAATCATAGCCTCGGATGGCGATCAGAAATCATTCTGGCGATTCCTCTGCACAAGCACAGTTTACCCAGTCTGTTGGGCAAGGCGAATGTGGCACAAGAAAACGTTGGGAATCCGAAGCGACGAGAACTTTGCAGCTGATGGGTGTGTTCTCACCATCGCCCGGAAGCACTCTTCGTGACGAAGACAGCCAAGTTGCCGAGCATTTTGGCAAAATAGTAGCTGGAAAGAACGACTGGGCATCTTCCTGCCGGGCTCACGAGGAAGATGGGAACCTCCGGGACAAGGCTCGTGTTCATTGTACGCACCCCACAACTTGCAACGCGACTGCGGGTCAGGATCAGTGCCTCTAACTCCTCCAGCTCCGGGCACTCGAGCGCTGGAGCCTGGCAGACGCGTGCAAGTGCTGGGCCGCACTGCAGAATTGTGCCATGAGCCTGCTGCGCTGTGGCCGGAGCACCTGATGGCACAGCTGGTGCGCCACGGTCGTCGCAACACTTCCCGCTGACGCGTACCTGCAACCAAATCCTCATCGTCGAAGGGCTCCAAGAGATCCAGGAAACGACTTCCACCGACCTGGCTTCAAGGGTGTAGTACTTTGCGGCAGCATCAAACAGTCGATGGTCGCTAGTGCTAGGCCACCAGGGAGTGGGGAGTAACCCCACTGTCGCTCTCTCTTCTTCCCTTCGCGCCCTAAGGCACCGGATTTCGGGCGAGTTTTCTGTTTCTGCGGGTATATTGGGGACGGGCAACTGGTGCTG